ATACATTTATAAAAAGGATTGCTTTTAAAAATTGAAATACTAATATTTAAATATATATATGTATATATCAATTCCGTATATGTGAAGCTAGCTATTATATACTGCAGAGTAGGTCACTTCATTATAATCAAGATTATTAGTTAATTAACAACACTTATTTTTTCTATGATATATAAATAATGAGACGATAAATTTAGTTTCTATGTCTAATTATAAAAAGATTCATACACGTTTGAACTGTTTGTTTTTGTAGCTTATCAGATATTTACACTATTAATTCTCTCAAACCTAATATTCAAATGAATGCTGCAATGGAAACGTTTACAATTAATATCTGATTAAGTATTTCTATTTATAAACGTGCACGTGCGAAAAAGTATTTTTTATATTTATAATAGTCATATTATACTCTAATAGACTATTAAATATCAAGATTCTAAAATTTATAAATCTGGTCAATTCAAACTTGTAAAACTAACTAGGTTTAAGTAGATATTCCTTTTTTATTTTATTTTTTGTTTAAATCACTCGATCTGATTCTCTTCGAGGACATAAAACTAATCAAAATAGAGCTTCATAAGAGAGGATTGCCCATGATAAAAGTTTATGGAAATATTTTAGTTATCTATCAAAATTTATTATCTTTATCCTGTCTTAATTCATTCTACTTTAACGTATTTTATTAATCTATATCGTTAATAATCTGTTTCATAGCTAATCGTTCGCCACCGTGTGATAGACCTTTATTCGAATCAGCTGAAATATCGCTAGTGTTATCTGGACTGAATTCATTTCTAAAGACACTGTCAGATTGAGAATGCGTTGGTGTTGATAATTCTGATACCAAAGGTGTAGATTCGTCGTCACTGTCGGCAGCTGTAGATGTCGTCGAAGTTGTTCCAATCAAACGGTCTTTTAATTTAGATAATTTTTCCAAACTAGAATGCGGAACAGAAATTGACACTGCCGGTGAACCACATATCGTTAGTATTGTATCGTCGCAAAGCGTTGATACAGAACGTCTTTTCTTCGTTGAAGAAGCTATAGAAGATGTTGGTTTTAAAGGTATAGTATTTCCCATGTAGTATTCGTCTGTGGATTTAGATCTAAAGGCAGGTAGAGGTGAAGGGGGAGGAGAAACGAAAAGAGAGGATGGTCTGCTTTTGGAATGACTTCCATTTCTTCTTAGACTTCTACTACGATTGTGAGAACAAGTTGATCTTGTACTTCGTTGGGAAGCTATGCTATGTTGAGAATTAGCACGATGTAGATGTATCGTTGAGTCGCACGAACTATCATCAGAACTTTCCTTTTCATTAACCGGTACCCAATGAAAAAGTGGATTGGTTTGTAGTAGAACGTAATCCATATCCGGAGTTGAAGAAGCAACTAGTCCTAAAAACAATAATCCGATGTCATGTCTTCTTCATTTTTCTCATGTGTTATTTTTACTTAAAAATAAGTATCGCTTCATAATTGATTATAATTTGTTGTTGATATTAACAAGAAAGAAACAAAAAGCATATGAACACAAATAAACGTACAACAAATGGTGATAATACACAATATACAGTGATGCATATGTATAATAATACAACAATAGAACAAATTCTCCTATATAAGGAAACGAAAAGAAATCTTCCTGCTTTCTCTTTTTATTAGGTAAACATTCAATTTATTTTAATTATTGTACACAGCTTATTTTTAATTAAAGACACATCAGTCTTTTGTCTTACAAATGTAAGCTGCAATGAAGGTATATATATTGTAATATTTCTAAAGACATAATTTATTGTTATAATTCTTATACATATAACACATTGCGTTTAAAGAAAGCGTACAAATTTAACACAAATGGATTATGCAACATGTATTAATTGTTTTTCATTTTATATGATAAAATATATTGTTATTTTACTTTCTTTAAAAGTTTATTTCTACAGATACATATTTTTCATAATAAATTAAAAAATTTCACTTCATAATAACTATATACATATTATTTTTTACATATTTATAAATATATCAAATATTAACTGCCCCTTATCTTACCACAATAGAAAAGAAATTTTTTGAAAATATTTTTTAAATAATAATAAATAAGAATTGAATGATCTACAATTATTTACACCAACAATCACACTTTACGTAGAAAACTTGTTCATTTAAAATAGAATTAATATATGTTGCATGCAATATATTATTTTTGTACTTTATTTTTATTTCATTTTGTACTTGGAAGTTATTGAATTATTTTTTTTCTTTTTCATATCATGGCTATTACAAAGTCAATGAAATCACTGGTAGAAGATTAATAGTACAAATAAAAGTTCCTTTCATTTAATATTTTGTATGAAGTATTGTCAATAAAACGCAAAGTGATTTTCTTCACTACTCACTAAAAAACAACAATTAATGTAACATCGACAATCACAAGTTATACTTAAACATTTTCAAACTTAATAAGAGTAAACATTATATATCTACAGAAGTAATGTATTGCTAAAGCATTTGGAAGCATGAATGATTAATTAACAATATAATATAAGAAAATATAAAATTTTTCTTTGGAAATAAAACATATAACACAGTTCTTTCAAATGATTTAACTTAACTATCTACATTACTTAATTATATATCAAGTCTATATATTTTTTAAATTTAACAAATGATGTACAGATAAAAATATTTTCATTGCATTAATAATAATTATTAAAGGAGTGATATATATTTTCTTTCATTTTCTCTTTTCTTCATCTTCTATTGATATGCATAATCACTCGTTTATATTGCAAAATAATATGGCACATTTGTTTGAAATATATAAGAAAATAATAATTTCCAAATTAATTTATCATTTTCCTAAATACGAATCTATTTTTTTTGCAGTGAATATTTATTATAGATTACATGTTTATTGTCTCTTTGTATCTATCGCACAAAAATAAGATCTGCTATACTGTCACGTTGTTATATATTTCTTCGAAATAAAATAGCAAAAAAAAGCAAATTAAACCTCAAAAATAAATTCTATTATATTCTAAGTAACAATGCGCAGCGCATATACGTTTATGGATATGCGTTTATTTGTATCTTTAATGGAACTATAAGTTTCCATTATAATTGCTGACAGTATCGCAGTATTAGCAAGGTTGTTGTGGCTCTTGAATTACAACCAGGGGCAGTGAAAGTGGTAGAGTAGAGGGCTCACCTGAAAGTGAGTCTGTTGGCGCCGTTGCTGGATTTGGAAGATCCAATACATCTTCGCACGCTTCTTCATTCAAGGTTTGTAAAGCGCCACATATCATTTGTTCTTCCAAAGTTACCTGTAGTAGTTTGTTTTTTCAAAATGTATATAAATTTTTTTTAATTATTTCAAGTAAAAAAAACTCTGAATTGTAAATTAAAATATTTCATAAATAAGAATATAAATATTAATATTAAAATCTCACCTGATACTAAAGCCAAAATACAAATGTAACGGACAATATTATAAAGTAATATATTAGTTGATTTACTTTTATTTTTCAAATGTATTTTTAAAGATATTTAAATAATTTCTTTACCTGTTTTTCCATAATTGATTGTTTAGCTTGATCTCGTCGAGGTGGTGCATCTGTTCTGGATATTCCCTTTTCTTTTTCAGTATGGGCAGATACGCGAGCGGAACTAGTTTGTAAAGTGTGTTCTACAATAAAAAATAATTATATAAATATTAAATTATTAGATCTGATATAAAATGATTCATAGGATGAAATATTATATTTACCTTTCCGTGCAATGGGCTCGAGTCCTACAGTAAATCGTACACTTCGTGAAGTTTCATCTTGATTGCTGAATGATGTTAGTTCCAATTCTCTGAGCGATACGATTATCATACGAAATAATTCCCAATCGCCAAACGACATTTTTAGGACCTAACAAAATATTTTATTTTTATTTTAGCTGCACTACTATTTACAGAATTGTATATTAATTTGTAGGCAAAGTATGCAACGATTCATACCTTTTTTAGTTCTTGCAAATCGCAATGAAGCAAAACTCTTCCATTAATATTATTGTCCCTCATTACAATCTTATATTGGGGTGAATGATTAATATTAAAACCTTCGATTCGGTCAAGAAGATCGCAGACATCGCTCACACCCATAATGGACAATTTCATTTCAAGAATTTCTGGCTGTGTGAAAAAAGAAAAGAAACAGAAAATTTTTAATTTAAAAATATAAAATTTACAAAAAGAAATAATTGCATTTCAATCAGATATAAAAACATACTGGTAACGTAGTAGTTGCAGAAAGTGATCTTGGCGCAGGTTCAGCAGGTGGCATATGTGCCCAAGGTGAAGCAGACCAATCGAAACTTGGTTGAAAAGCCCACGATGGTCCAGGTTGAATACATTGTTGTCCCTGTAAGCTTGATGTTTTGTTAAGTTTAGCACTACGATTAGTAGCTACAGTTTTGTTTATATTGCTTGAATTGTAAATATTGCTTTGTTGAGACCACGGTGTGACTTGTTTGTGATGAGACACATTCATTTCTTCATCTAATCCTTGCTGTTCTTCTTTTATTTTCTTCTTTATATAAGGATCAAGATTGATAGTAAATGGTAAAAATATTTTCATGTCGCTGATGTGTAAACTAGACCTGTGGAAAGTTAGAAAAACGTCTAGCTTGCGTTCATCTCTGTCCATCTCGAGAAGTGGTTGAGCATCCTTTAGCACCGGTATTTGTGGACGCACTCTAAAAACAAAATTATAAATTTTAATGAATATATAAAAGAAATATAAATATTATAAAGCTGTTTTATAGTTTTCACATACTTATCATAAAGACTTTTCAAAGACATGGAATCATCCAAAGAATCCTCACACATATCATAATGTAATATTAACCAAGATGTTCTAAAAGGCCATTGCTCTGTAATGTTGATCCAACTGGCTAGATGATACCAATTAAAATCAATCTGGAATGCTTTCAATAATCTCCCAGTGACATAAACAACGTTCATTAATCTTCTCATACTGCGTGGATTCACATCGCTAAAGTAATCATCAGTGAGAAGCATTTTATTGAGATCTTGTGCGCCACCTAATCGATTTAGATTACTACCAATACTGCTAGCAATGGATTCGCTCATCCGTAATTTTCTGTTGCCCTTTCTACTCTGCGGTTTTAATTTTTCATTGCTATTCATAACAGCAGATTCAGTACTTAATCTTCTATTGGAAACAGAGTGATGCATTGTACTGCTAGCAGCAAAATTAACACTCTCCTCAGCTTCCGACCAAGTTGTCTTTTTAGTATGCATTGCTGTTTGTTGTGCAATATTAACTTTACGTAACCCGCTGTTTTGTAAATAAAATGGAAGATGAACCATATTTCTTAAATAATCGTGCCCACCGATATTGGACTCGGTAAATAATCTTCTACTGTTTACTTCGACTGCCTTTAAAAATGAAAAAAAATAAAATAGATATAAGTAAATATCTGCATAATCATACAACAAATTTGATAACAAATCTAAAAAAATAATCTCACCTTAGAAATAATATGTGGATCAATGGCTAAGATCACCACAAATGGGTATCCATTATCGCTAAACAGAGCCTGTATAGCATCTAGAACAAGTAGAACTTTATCTTGTTCACAACTATCTAGGCCATCTACTATTAAAACTAGCCTACTTTGTTGAGACATGAAGCTATCTAAGCATTTTACCTATTTTTAATTTTATAAAAATATATGAATTATTAGAAAATAAAATAAATTCATTGTATATAAATTATATACTTGCGTATACGCATACCATTTCAGTCATTAGATTAACTTCACTTCTTAATGTTTGTATAAAACCTTCGCTTTTTAATGTTTCTAATTTGGATATACTATGTTGCAGATGTCTTCTCTGCGAGAACACAAGCGCTTTTAATGTCTGATTCCATGTGTATAAATTTGCTATAATACTGATAGTTAATACTAAGCCAACAGTTATCATAATGATGTGCGCTGTAAACTTCTCAATAGTTGGTCTACAATATAACAGTAATAATAATAATAATAATAATAATAATATATTTATTTAATAATAAATTAATTATTAACTCTTTTGTTACGGCACATCATATAAATTTATTCGTACATACGTATCGTTGCATGCACACGACCTCTATATAGGTCGCTAGTAACGAAAGAATAAATATATTATAAATAAAAATTCTAATATTATATTAAATACTTACACATCACTAGATAAATCTATGAGGTAGACTGTAAGTACTGATATACCAATAAGTAAACTGCAGAAGCAGAATTCAAATATAACAACGTATGGTAAACAACAAAGATGTCTCCATTTCCAAGTAGTGGTAGACTTATCGAATTTAGGTCTAAAAGCTCGGTATAATCTCGTAGACAAAGAACCAAAATCACTTTCTATCGAATCATAAAGAGATCCAACCATTTGCACAACCGCATTCTCACCAGCAGCCGTTGTACCGACTCTAGTTTGATCAGTGAAGTAAAATTTAATGGGCTGTACGGTAATATCGTCGTGAACACTTCCGCCAGGTGGATGACAAAATATTATTTGCAACAGTAGCTTCAGCGAGTTTAATTTTGTTGTAAGTGCTACTGTAAAATTCGATGGCCAATACCAATCATATCTACAATAACGATAATAATAAAAATAGTGTAAATAAAGTGATTAGATCATAATAATTACAATTTTATATTGTTTGTAATAAATTACCTTTGATTGGCATACCAAACGAGCACCAAGAAAAGATAAACAATAAAAATAAGACTTATTCCACACGCAAGACCAATAATCCACGATTGTACAAGAAGACCAGTTGTAACACCAACTAATAATGACATGTGAGTAACTACTATGAACAATAAAGTAGAAAATTGGAATACTGGATCGATCCACTGTCGTGCAAAATTTTTCATTTCCTCTGAAAGAAAAATGTTAATATTAGATAGACATAAAAATTTGTAAAATTTTAGAGCTTTATATCTCTACCTCTTAATTTATTTAATAAAAATGATTTCCCGGAACCCCATTTGGCATAAAGACCAACAGTAATTGGCGTTGAAAGTGAAGGTTCACTCAGTATATCTGCTAACGCGCTACTGTATAAATCATATCCTAACATATTTTCATTATCCTCGTTAGTGTTAAGTCGACCTGTAATCAAAAAATTATTTGTCGTTTTGATTAAAACAAAAAAATATATATATAAATACAATTATAATTTACGTACGAGCACCAAATATTTGTCCTAGAATAGCCTTAGGATTATTAATATCTATATTATACGGCGTCTCTCCTTGACGATTCGGCCGATACAACAATTGACTATTTTTTGGATTCCTCAGCAATATCTCAACTATGCCTTTAGATCTTGCACGCATAGCAATGTGTAACACAGTATCCCCTTTTTTATCGGTTGCGGAAACTTTAGCTTTCTTGTCTAATAATAATTGTACTATTTCGGCGTACCGCGATCTTACTGCTCGTAGTAATGGCGTATCACCGTCTTTTGTTGCAATTTCTAGATCTGGATTAGCGGTTAGTAATAATTTTAGTACTGCTATATTACCCTTTTCTACAGCTATGTAAGTTGCAGTCTTTTTATCCTAAAACATTAATAATATCTTTTATATTTAATACACTAAAGTTTCTATTAAAAGGATTTATTTTTATTTTTATTATATTTTTTAATTACTATACCTTGCCAGGTACATCAACATCAGCATATTTTTTAAGAAGTGATTCAACGACACCTCTGTGCCCACCCTTAACAGCATGTATCAAATTAGTATCAGCAGATCTATCTTGAATATTGACATAAGCTCCAGCATTTAAAAGCGCATTAGCTATTTCGTGATGACCCTCTCGACAAGCTATCGCCAAGGCCGTACATCCATCTTTGTCAAGAGCATTTACATTCGGTTTATGTTCCAAAAGTAATAGAACTACGTCTATATGATTACCAAGTGTCGCCACAAGAAGAGCTGTCCATGAATACTATAACGTAGCAGATTTTCGTACCGGTCATTTATCTTAAAGAAAACCTATATTTTTCTTACTTTTTTCCTATTATTATATATACAAACGAATTTAAGGTTTTTTACCATGCCAGCCGTATCGACATTAGCACCAGCTTTTAACAATGTGTCGACTATCTCTATGTTTCCTTTTCTGGAACCCCATACTAAAGCCGTAGTACCATACTAAAAAATAAATCAAAAAATCAACAAAATTAGTATATTAATTTCTTAAAAACTTTCAATTTTTTTCTGATTAATTTTGACAATTTACCTTATCACCGACGTTGACTTTAGCACCATGACTAATTAAATCTTTAACTATTTCGGCATATCCTCTACCAGCTGCCCACAGCAAGGAGGATATGTGAAAGTTTCCATGAGCATTGACATCAGCACCACGTGCTATTAATAACTTCACCGTATCCGATCTACCTTTATAAGTTGCCCACATAAGTGGTGTCCATCCTCCCTAAAATCAATTACATTAATTTATTTTTTAATCTTTTATTGTATACGAAAATTATTTTCTCGTTTACGTTTGGTAATTTTCTTTACCATGTCACGATGTTCCAAATTGGCGCCATGATCCAATAATTCGGAACAGATCTCGGTATAACCCTCCTTAGCTGCGCAAAGTAATGCCGTCCAATTGTCCTAAAAGAAAAGAGAATTCATGATCAAATAAAAGTGAAATATTTGATGCGTGTCAATAAGTATAAGTAAACAATTACCGCGTCTTCTGTATTAACGTCCGCGCCATAATTGATGAGTTCCCGAAGAAATTGGATCTTTCCTTTTGCTGCTGCAAGGATGAGTGCTGTGCTACCGTTCTACGGGTAAACAAAAATAATAATAGTAATAAGAAAAAAAAGAAAAAATGCATTTTGCAATCCTGCATTTGCGAATACAGGATGCAACTTGTTGGTTCATAAAAATAATAATTTCTTCTTGTAAGGAATAAATTAGATTGACTGATAAATTCGTGTAATTTTTACCGTGTTATTTACTAATTGGTAGAAAAATTGCATTAAACTTTATTGATCAACCTAATACAAGATTGGCAAGGCCTTTTTCCTTACCTCATCTCGATCATCAACCTGTGTTCTTCTATTTTCAAGAAAACTTTGCAAACCAGCGAGATTGTCATCCGTGATGTAGCTGGCAAGCGTTCGATAACAAAGCGATACCATCGAGTCAGTCCGATGCAAAGTCTGTAAAAAGTTTGATAATAGTATGTTAACAAGTGTTGCTCTTTGATTATTTAGATAATATAAGATACTCAATGTATTATTTTAGTTTCTAACACACAAACTTCAGGCAACTTTTCATCTCAATTTTTATTTCTTCTTGCTGGGATTGAAAAATCATTTATTTTTATTTTTATTTTTTTATTTTTTCTCTCCAACGCCTCAACGAATATTACTTACTTAAAAACACTGGTCAAGAAAAACAAAATCTTATTTATACAACCATCAAGCGTATGTATTTGCAAGCAAATATTAATTCAAAGCACACAATTTGAATCATTCCCCCTTATGTTTTTTTTTTTTAACTATAATTATGGATCGATCGTACGAAGATAGTAATATTTATTTTTACAATATTTCCAATATTTTCGTATTGATTACACACATGTAATATGAATTTTTTATATTAAAAAAAAAAAAAAATTATGTTCAATTGCACATGCACATTGTAACACGCACATTGTTAGAACTTGGCGCATATTATATGAAAATGTTCAGTACTAACAAATCGTATGCTGGGTATTTATTACTAATATTATTGAAAAAACGTAGTCGTTCAATGTAGTTTATTGTGTGTCTGTGTATGTGTTTTTTTTTAAATAATTATGATTTTGACAATATTAAATCGACCTGAATCAAACAAAGTTGTATAATTTAAATAGACTTTTAACACTCACCGTATGAAAATATGATTGTATTTTCGATATCATCTTTAATCAAATTTAGTGTAGTTTTCTTTGTAAAATTGGTTTTTGTTAAAAAAGACAAAAAAAGAAACAAAAAAAGATAATATTTTTTTGTTCGTTCGTATTTAAAAGCGATCAAAAAAATTGTTCACACTGGGCAGTATCATTCCTTGTTATGTGTGAACGGCAATCATCAAACGTTAGCTCCCATAATCTCTCGACCACCATTCAATTCGTCCGTCCGTTCCTTCTTTCGTTCTTATGATAGACGAGGAAGAAGTTTTATATGACACGACCAAATTTTGCGTCGCGAGTTTTCTTCTTTTTCCTATATTGTTTCTTTTACAATTTTTCTTCATCTCACAGGAAACAAGAAAAAATCTGAGACCGAAGAAAAAGATTCAAAGTGATAACCATTTTTACGTTCCAATTTGTAAATTAGAAGGAAAGACGTAACGAAATTTGCACCTAAATTATAACAAAAAAAAAAAAAGTAAAAAAAAAGAAAATAAATAAATAAAAAGAAAAAAAAAAGATGACAATGACAATAAATTGTTTTATCTTCAATGCGTCCGAAACCATACGAAACAAACGTGAATGATTTTATTTGCGCAATTCATATCGATTCGGCTTTGCTTCTAAATGGAAATATTAGTACTGGCATTATTTCTATCTTAGACATTTGATAATAAAAGAAGTTAAATTAAAAATATAGAAAAGAAATGAAATTTAAAATAAAACAAGGACGATAAATTAAGATTAAGGTTGATATTTATCGGGTCAGTATTTTTCAACATTTTTAAATCAATGATCAGCATTTAGAATAAAATATTAGTATGATGCACGAGAGATAAACAATATTTTAGATACAAAATACTTACAATTAATTAATAAAAATACTGACCAAATAAAACGAAATAAATAACAAATTGACCAAATAAAAATACCAAATATGGAAAAAGGATGGAAAAAAAAACGAACTAATAGGCCAGTGTCCAAGAATAAAAAGTTCAAACGTTCTCGCTCACAATCAGCAAAACTTTACGCGAAACCTTTTTTTTTTTTTTAACTAAATTATTAACAAAAAAAGAAAAAACAAAAGGTGTAAAATAATAATAATAATAAAAATAAAACAAACCGTTTTAAAGGATGAAGAAAACTCGTTTTATCCAAAATCGTTTTAAAAACAAAATTAAGAAACGAACATGCCGGGGGAAAAAGAAGACAAACAAACAAAAAAAATCAAAATATAAGTGAGAGACTGATGAATAAAGTTACGAAGAAAAATAAAACAAAACAAAAAATATAGCGGGAAAATAAAAAGAAATAAAAACACGGGAATCGTGCTTTCGAAGATTGTTCTCGTCTACTAAAATGACACTACTGACACTACTGACTAACCGTCTGTGAGTGTTTTCGTATGCCGAAGTTGAACTTGCGACCTGTTCCATCGGTCGCTGGGGCAGTGAACGTAATCACGGGTACGTGAATATGTGGAAATACATGATGATGATGATAGTGGTGATGATGATGATAACCAAGTTCGAGATCCCAGCGAGCACCAGCAGCAGCAGCAACAGCAGCAGTGGTAGCAGCGCTTTCGGGTATATGAAGATGAAGGAAGGATAATTTAGATTTACGTTTACCATCATTTCCATCATCATTCCGATCTCTTTCCTTGTTAATCCAATCATCCTTCTCTTCCTCGTTTTTCTTGTCGATAATTTCTAATGTATTATCATTGACGAATGACAAATTGGAGAGAGTAACACTTCTTTTTAAACCAAACGAACTGGTTTCTCGAGCCCTTGGTAAAAAATTACTCGGCACACCTGGAAACGCACCAGCCAAACTCGGTACCAAACTCGAACAAATGGCTGCGCTAGCTATGCTAGATCTTCTTGTAGGATTTACACTAGTACCCGATAACACATCCCTGTATTTAGCTGTTGATTCTTCTTTTGATTCACTCAACATTGATTTGCTACGTTCGTTTATCCTAGATATCGACTCATTATCATTCTCACTTTCTAATTTATCGGAAAATTCGTCGATAAACTTCGACCCCTTTTCCCCGTTATCCTTCATCACTTGATTTTCCCCGATCATCTCTTTTTCCTCCTTGGCATCACTCATTGTTACGTTTTTTTTCTTTTCTAAATCGTTCATTACCAAGTAGTAAGATATCAAATGCTATCTTTATTACTTTATTTAATCTCTCTCTCTTTCTCTCTCTTTATTCCTTACTTTTTAATCCAATTTAAAGTCTTTTCTCTCTTTTGATTATCAACCGTAAGAGAGTGCGCGAGTATTAATTTTATCTCATAATGTTCTTAAAAATGTCTCTCTCTTTCTTTTTCAATTTATCTTACTCTCCTTTTCTCAAGAATTGACAGATGAAGACAAGTAGATGATATCGTAAGCTTCCTTCTTCGATGTATATATCTTTTTCTCTTTTTCTTTTGATGCTTTGAATAATAGAAAAACTTCTCTGAAGAGAGATATGTATGTGAATGTATATACAAATTATATATATATATATTCAATCATATCTTTTCGATAGTTGATCACATAAATATATATATATATATACATATATATACATATATATACATATATATATATGAACCATGAACGTAATAAAACATACACATACTATACCAATGACGAACAATGAACTTCCTTTTGATTGTTTCATATTTTGCCTTTCATAGCATCATATATGCGTGTCAAAGCGTATTATGCATTAGTTCGTAAATGTTAGCATCGATCAAGCAACTATCTTGTATATATATATATATATGTTAATACTAACCGTGCATGTATTAGATTTATCTTAATCCTCTTAGGGTCTCTGTACGATAGTATAATTATTTAAAAAAAAAAAAAAAAAAATCATTAATTCCAAATAAAAATATCATCAAATACGTGAACAACTAAATACTTGTGGTAGATTAGTAAAAAAAAAATTGATTATATTAGTATGACAAACATACTAATCGTTATAATCTATTTTTTTTTATATATTAATAGGATAGAGAATTAAAAAAACAAAAATAATGAAATGCTAATTAATTAAATTGATACCGTGAAAAACGGACCCTCGACAAAGTGGTGAACCTGAGCATCTTTTCCAAATTGATTCCTTCAAGATCCACGTGTATTTTCTTTTTTATTTTACTTTCTATTTTTTTCTTTTTCTTTTTTTTTTTTAAAGCAACCGCGCGTTGCTACTAATTATTAATTATTATTAATTATTTTTTTCCCCTTGTTCACTTATTATCGTTTTTTTTTTTTGCAATTATTAATACTTATTGAATTTTGTGGGATTTCTTTTTGAACGAGTTTTACTCGCGAATGATACGAAATAAAAGGAAAACGACGAATCACATGGCAGATATCTTAAACGCGGTGCGGACGGTAACGCCGGCAAATACCTTAAGAACATCGCGTAACATAACGTACGGCATTTATATATCGCTGTGGGATCTCTAAAGTCGTGTACACAGCGAATAAGAATCGTCTTTACGTGCGTAATAGCGCGCATTACAATCCAACAGTGCCGTGCATTTAACTACGAAGTACCATGAGCCCGTTTTAATATCTAACACAACAATGGATTTTAAATCTTCTTAATTAAACCTACCATTTTCATTTTGCCGACAAACGACAAATAAAATTGTCTAGTTGTTAGCTAATGACAATATAATATAGTAATCAATTGAAATATTTAAATTAACTTACGTCATCAATGTTAAGTATTATAATCTTTTATTATGATTATTATTATTATGATTATGTATTGTATTCTTTTAAAAAGCATCGTACAGATGTGCAAGTGATTATGAAAGTGGAGTCAAAAATGAACAAAATTTGATTTAAAGAGTTTATTTTATCATATAAATAATTTTATTATTAAATAGATCAGACAATTAATGTTTTTTCTTTTTTGACTTACATTAGTAAACAGTTATAATTACCAGCACATGTACGTTTATTTTTGTTTTTTGTTCATTGACAAATATTGAATCGATCTGCAATATCTTCATTTTTAATTGCATTGCAATTTTTTCCACGCGTAATGCAAGAACAATTAAAATCGTTTGTCTGCAAAAACACTTGTTTGACAAAATAATTGTTTAATGATATTATTACATTTTGTAAAAATATTTGTTATTGTATAATACACGAATCTATATTCTAAGTAAATGGATAAAGGATTCATTTGAAAAATTAGAATTGTCATTAAAGTTTGTATAAATATTAAGAAAACGAGACCTAATTAGAGATCATCAAATGTATTCTCGTGAAAATGTAAAAGTTGGAAAGATGTTGGTTAAATAAAAAATGTCGGTACTTTGCGATCTCGATAAGCGATCAAATAATAAGCATCGTAACTTGCTAATTGTACTCATAAATGGTTTATGTGTATGCGGTTTTGTGTCTCTGTGTATGTATGTGTCTGTGTACACGTGGACTAGGTAAAGATGATTTCATCGTATAATTTATAATTCACCGCAAACACGATCTCGCTTTTGTAACGTTTATTTGCAACTCTTATTGTAAATTTACGTAATTGATTACACTATTATTGATAACGAGGTAAAACAATTATTATATATGTAAAGAGAAAAAAGAAAAAGATTGAATAATTTTCAATTATATCAATTTTAGAATCGATTAAGTAATAATAGTAATTTTATTCGAAGTATTTCGGTGTAGAAAATATTGTTATAATAATAAATATATTTAGTTGATAAATAATACGTCGGAATTTTTAATTAATTTATATTTAAATAAATAAGACTATAGTTTTCTTTTTTTATTGATTGCGCATTTTATTTAATATTGTAGATCTAAATTTAATAAATGAAAAAATAAATTTGTAACGAATAAAAAGAAGAATAAAAATAAATTGTTTATTAAAAAAAAAATGTTTATAAATTAATATCTAAATTGAATAGAAATTTTTTATATATAAGATATTTTATATATTAAAATATTTATAAGTATTTAATATCTAAATGATTAAAATAGTGGTATTTGTTATATTAAAAATTCCGACCTAACTTATTATAACCAAGCCAGTAATAAAAATATCTTTAAGAAGATGCGTCATTCTTGCGTCTCCCTCAAAGAATGAAAAATCTTGCAATACGATGCGCTCTTACGATAGCAGAAGAGTCACTTTGATCAATTAAAGCATTGGTCAAACCGATCAACGAGGAATTAGTTTGTCCTATTGAGAAATAACAGTTACGGAAAAGTTTTAACAATTTATTTTTAACACTCTTACTGAACTACTTAATACGAACTTACAAATAAATAACTTTTAAAATAAAAGTTTAAAAATAAATCTCTCAAATGCATATACACATGTGCGCGTGCATCCGTGTAAATTTACATGAAAAATAATTTCAATCTCTATTAGTAACAAAAATAAATCATATATTTGTGATCGATGAATGCACAAAGGCAATGCACCGATAATAAACGATAATAAAACCTTCTCGATTATTTATAGTTAAGTTCAAGGTTCTGCATCTGCATGCATGAGAAATTGAATACAATTACATACGTTGCAATATTTTATCGTGAGATGTTACAAAAATAAAAATAAAAAATCATGTTCATTTTCTTTTCCTTGCAGAATTCGTAAGAACGAAAAAGTATTTCGTACGTTATTTATATTAAATATGTTTTTTATTGTATATTTCATAATTTTTATTATCCCCTCAACGAAGAATCGAATATATTGCATATTCATGAGACGTGAAATGATAAAAATAAAATATTTAAAAAAGAACTAATTTAATTTATCTCGTATTATCTCGCAACGAAGTATAATAATGAATCATTATTAAACGAAGCGAAACGGAAAAACACGGAATTGAAAAAAGCGAGATAAATTCTTTTTAAAAAGGGAACACACGAGAGCAACGTATAAAACGTTTATTGAAATAAATATTATTATTAATAATTACGTATTGTACAAGTATTAGATTGTTCGAGAAGTAATTTCGTTTTATTTTCGATTATCGTGATTTGTCGAATTTAATAAATTCGACTACTTTTATTTTTTCGTTGTCATACGACAACGAATGCATGCACCATTACTTTTATTTTGTTCTTATCTTCCTCAACTAGATGACCCCCCAACGTGGTGCATCTTTCAAATCATAATTTCGAAAACCAATGGTGACTTTGATTTTCCATTTTGGATGCGATAGCAAAAAAAAAAAGTAACGAGATCCTAAATGACGTCTGTTGTTAAAATGTAAAATGATTTGAAGATTTAGAGGAAAATTAAGTATCGGTTAGCACGACTAACGTAAGCTTTGTGCGAAAAATAAAATTACTTTCCGAACAACCCAATAAGCTATTGGATTGAGTCAATAGTTTTGTTCATATTCGAATATAAAACTTTTTTTTTCATATTCTGTATCGAATCTTCTTCAAATAGTATTCAAAAATGTTTCATAAACGATGTATAATTTCAAATCTATATTATGATTGCTAATACACCAGTGTTACTCAATTTTTTCTATAATTTTATTGACTATTCCAGTGATTGGTTGATCAAAGCATGATGCATCTTTGACATCAACATTTCCAGATTGAAAACGTTTAAACCAGTTTTATAGCAGATGCATTGATATTGCATCATGTTCATAAACGTCAAAAATTTATTTACTAACTTTTAAATCGCATTCTTTCTATTTTTGTAATAAAATTTCTAAATGTGTTACGAATTCCTTTTTTATTTTCACTCATTTTTCAAGATGTTATAACTTTTGATTGAATAAACTGGAATAAACAATCTATTAGAAAAATACGAAAAAACTTTTGACTCGAACCCAATAAAAATGCATTTGTATATTAAGCAAAAATACCTGTTTGCTTCTGCTCCAAAAAGATTGGAAAATATTTTGACTTGACGAATGTGAGCCATAAATGCGAGTAGTGTTCAGTGTACTTTGAAGTAAGCACCTATTTTGTTGATTTGATTTTAACAAATAAATTTTTTCGTCAGATTCCCACGACATTTTTCTTTCCAATTTGTTTAATAATATATATAATTTATATATATATACATATATATTATATATATATAATATATATTTTTAATATAGTAATTAAATATATTAATTAATAATAAAAGGTTCCTTTTCTTTCGATTATTTCTTTTTCATAATAATCGATTTCTTCTTCAAATATTATTCAAAATACGTAATTCATCTCGAACAATATTCTTTTTCTTCGATAATCTTTTTTAATATTATTCAATATATCCTCCGAGATAATCTATTTTTTTTACTTTTCTTCTGTGAACGATGAATCATGCATATGTAAAAATATTCGAAATATCTTCAAGAGTCACAAATCATTTTTATCATAGAGTTCGACGATCGAATTAAAATTCATTGGATTAATTCTTTGAAAATAAAGCCACAAACAAAAAATAAAACACGCG